CCTGCTCAGGCCATGCCCAGCGGCACTCTTTCTCCTCCTTTCACAAGCTCCTATCTAAACAGATCAAAGCAGCATGCAAAGCCATGGCCACCGGGTGCCCCTGCCTTCTGGGGCAGCAGAGAGAATACTATATGGGGCAGAAACCTAGGACATGCACGTCGCCTGGGTTCTGCATGGGGCTGGGAGCTGGGCTGGGAATGTAGAAGGAAGACTTGGTTAATGAAAAGAGGCCTTGCCTGTACCTCCAGATGGATTGGTGTGGTGCATGTGTGTATTGGGGGTGGGAGGTGGGGGCTTGTCTGAAGTTTTTGGATGTTTCTCCCTGCAGACTGTGGGCAACGGATATCCGGCCGCATTGTGGGAGGCACTGAAGCTTCTGCCAGTAAATGGCCTTGGCAAGTGAGCCTCCAGTATGGCTCTGCTCACATTTGTGGTGGCACTATCATTGATGCTCAGTGGGTGCTGACCGCAGCCCACTGCTTCTTCATGTAAGGCCAATCTCTGGATTGACTGGGGAGGGCGGTGGGATGCCTGTCGAAGGGAAGCTCCCTATCACGATGCCTGCCAGGAGGCGGCCAGGCTACTCCAGAAAGGCAGGACTTCCCATCTGGGGCTCTGTCCGTTATCCTACCCACCATTTCTTGAGATCCAGCCAAAAAATGAGGACAAAAAGCTCCCATAACTAATTCTCATCGGCGTCTTCTTCTGGATCAATTTGCTGACTCAATTTGAACAATTGGATTGATTTTCCAAAACAGCCCCCTATACAGGATCAGGGTGGATTCCCATGTCCCTCGTCTCAGAGGGGTCTCCCCCGGATATTTACGCCCTGGGCAAAGGCAGAGACACCTGTAACCTTTTGCCTTTGGACTTTTTAGAAACAGTGTGAAAATCCTGGATGAATGGAAGGTCTACGCTGGTGTCTCTGACCTCAAGCAGACGAGGGAGGGAATCCTGGTCTCGGAGGTCATCATTAATGCTAATTACAGTGATGATCATGATGACTATGACATTGCCCTGATGAAGCTCGCGCAGCCCTTGGTCCTCTCAGGTGAGGTTCTTGGATGCCTCCTCAGCTCCGAGGCCAGCAGGGCCCTTTGCCTTTTGTTCAAGGAGGGGCTCACTTGCTTCTCCCTCTTTTCCAGCCCAGGTTCGCCCAGCCTGCCTCCCCATGTCAGGCCAAAGGTTTCTTCCTGGGCGGGGCTGCTTCATCACAGGCTTTGGCAAAATCAGTGAAAATGAAGGTAAGCCGGGCGAGCGGGCCTCACTTGCTAGGCTGTGGCACAGAAAGGGTGAGCTTCCCTCTCGCCGGACCTGTCCCGAGTTGCCTGCCAATATGCTATGGGGGTGGGACGGGGACTCCTTAGTTATCGTGAACTTTTTCTATTGGAGATCCCATGTCCCAATTCGATTCCAGCTCGGGAGGCTGAAGGGTGTCCAGGGCTCTCTTTTCATCACATAATTTTTGCCTTTTGCAGAGAATACATCGCCCAAGCTGCGGGAAGCAGAAGTGAAGATTATTGACTATCGGCTCTGCAACAGCCGTAACGTGTACGAGGGGTTCCTGACCCCCCGGATGATGTGTGCTGGGTTTTTGCAAGGGGGCAAAGACTCTTGCCAGGTAAAAGAGGTTCTCTTGCCTGACGAGAAAGTGGAAGAGTTCTCCTATGCAACCTTAGGCTGATGCAACGAGTTACAAGTCTGGCTGGTTTTAGTGACCTGTAAATTTTCCCACACCAACTGAGACAGGGATAAGGAAAGGTTATTGGGAAGATGGTAGCAAAAGTCTTCCAAGAAAAGAAAGCTGCTCACCCAGTCTGTGGTTCCACGTGAGCTCCTTGAAAGCAGATCCAGAACCCAAACCCCAAGCACAGTCCCTGGGCAAGGAACAGGGGAGGCCTGGAAGGGATGGCCTCAGGACACAGGAGGTCAGGGAGCAGGAAAGGGGCGTCTGGAGGACATGCTTCTATATGCCGTGTTCCCAGTTAGAGCTGCCTCCTTCTCTCCTGAGGACTCCAGTCTCCACCGCCTGTGCCTTGTTACCTGGTGGCACGACTGTGGGCTTTGGCCCTCTCGCTCCCCGAATCTGAAGCCACATTTTGCGCTGAGCCTAACTCACAAGGGCCGAGCAGCCGCCTCAGCTGGAGACTCAGAGTCCATCGGAGCTCACAAAATCAGAGGGGTCCATTCCTGAGGCACCCCGGGAACAAAGGCGAGGGGCCTCCCTTCTGGCAACCCTTCCTGATATCTTGCACGCTTGCAGCGGACTTTTGAACTTGGGAGAGCCGTTGCTATTGTGGCCCCCAACACTCCTTCTCCCCCCCCCCTCCAGTGGGATGGTTCCTTCAAATGCAGAATTACCATTGCTGTTACATTTTTTTCAGGAGAAAACCAGATTTTTGGCACAGGAAAGTTAGAGGGAACCTTGTTGATGGCACACCAACACACAAGAACAAAAGATGAAAGGCCTTCTCCTTGCAGGACACACAGGCACCCTCCACTTTGGGCTTTTGCTATGAAACCCCAATTCTGGGCTTCCAGTGATACAAACTACCAAAGCCTGGAATGCCAGGTGGGGATTATGACCCTTAGCTCTCTAACGCCCGTCTCTCTTTGCCTAGGGTGACAGCGGTGGCCCCCTGGTTTGTCAGGACAGTAATCGATGGTACTTGGCTGGGGTCACCAGCTGGGGAACTGGCTGCGGCCAGCGAAACAAGCCAGGTGTCTATTCCCAAGTCTCCAAGTTTCTTGGTTGGATATACAGCCAAATGGAGGTAAGAGGGTCCTTGCTCGCTCGCAAGGGGGAGTTCAGGTGGCATGCAGAGGTTGGAAATGGGCATGGAAGGAAGCTAGGGCAAGAGGGACACTTGCACCCTCCCCCCTGACGGGCTTGATGACACATGGGGCAGAGGCAAGCTGAATTGAGCCCCCCCACCTGATGTGGCAGGGCTTTGGTTTAGGCCTTGGCTGTATTTGGCATCCTGCAAGCTGCTCTCGGGGAGAAGCACCGAGGAGCCTCACCTTCCCTTTCCCAGGGGACATCCGAGCACAGAGCCTCCTTTCCCTAGGCAGCTATCAGGGAGAGGGAAATGACTGTGGCTGGGAACTTCCCCTCCAACTCAGATTACACATAATTTGGCATCTAGGCTTGTCCAGGAATCCCTTTTTCCCCCATCTTGCCTTGCAGAGTCAGACCCCCTAGAAGAGGACGACACGCGCAGCCCTTTCTGGAGAAGTGGAACGAGCGAGCTTGTGAAGGCCGGCGACTGCACCTCCTTGCCCTTGGGCCACAAGGACAATGGTGGGGCTGGGGACAACTGGGCTCTTCCCAATGTTCTCAGGGTCCCCCAGTCTGCTGTTGGAACCAGTTGGGTACTCTGGTTTGAAGGGTGCAGCTGGTGCTGGTGCTGCTGAGGCTGGAGCCAAGTGCTTGGTGAGACCCGCCGGGGCAGGGTGGAATGGCCTTGCTCTATGGGAGTGCCCTTCGGATCACATGGAGGCACCAGAGAGTACTGACCATGGAGCCCTCCGCAGATGGCACAGGGCCAGCTGCAACCCTTCCTAGGGCAGGATCTGGCTGGCAGCACTACAGGCCCCTGGAAACTGGACTCGCTAGGACAGCCCTTTGCTGCCTCCCCACTTCAGGGCTTCTCAACCTTTGCCTTGGCAGCCCACTGGGACCCCCTTCTCCCCTGCAGAAGAGGGGGAACTGCACGAGGAACATGCAGGCATAAACCACCCCTCCTGTTGATTTTCCACCCCTTCCCTCTCCGAAGCCTTTTCCTGAAAAGGAACCCCTTGTTTGCTGAAAACAGAACTGCCAGCCTGGGCCTGTTCATTCTCCAGATTCCTTGCCCCAAACGGCTTCTCTGAATCACGGTGGCAGCTGCTCCTTGCTGCCTCCTCTTCCTCCTCCTCCTCCTCGTCACCTTCTCTCCTCTCTCCTTCTGCGATGGCTGGGAAATGGCCTCTGACTGCTAAGGCAGAGAGGGTCTTCTTGAGCTCCACTGTCAGCAGTTCAGGGGTTCCCTTGCACATTGGCCAGTGTTACAGCTGGAGCCAGCCTGGAAGCCATTTTGTGTTTGTGCACGTGTGTGTCAGATTAAAGGTTCTAAGACAGGAGGAAAAGCCAAGGAGGCAGAAGCAGCCCAAAGGGACCCCTTGCCTCAAGCAGCTGTGGCCAGCAGGGCTCAGGAGAGGCTCCCAATCTGTGTCCATCCAGGCCCTCCTTTGACCAGATCCAACAAGACAGGCAATGACTTCTTCTGAAACCACATTTAAGTGGGGAACTTTAGGGTGTGACCTTTCCCCATCTGTGGCCAACCTAATGCATCTCCTAAGCAGACGGTGTGGATGTAGCTCTCACTGTTCTGAAAGCTCCATTTGGCTTTCTCCTCTGGCTTTGCTCCCCCACCCCCAGTAAAAAAGTCACACACTGGTCAAGGTACAGGGAGGGGGGGGGAGAGCATGGGGACCCTGCCTGGGCTTCTCTAGGCTGCTTGCCTGCCTCTCTGCCCACACACCTTCATGTCCACCAGCCAGGTCCTGGAGAACTGCAACTGACCAGCAGCAGGCACCACAATTTCAGGCTTCAGGGGTGTGGGAAGAAAAGATTAAAACCGGCAGCTAGAGGGACCCAGGCAGTCAAGCAGCACCCCAGTTCGCCCTCCCAAATCAGAGGAGGCAACCTTCCCAGCCCAGGCGCTGGACCCTGCAGGGAGCTAACTCAGGCCTCCCCGCTGTCAGATGGCAGAGCTGGCAACAGGTGGAGTCAAAAATCCACTTTCTCTCTAGGCAGAAAGCTGCCTCCCTGGCTGCTGCTTCCCCCTCCGCTGCAGGAAAAGTCCCAGGCAGGGAAGGCTATATCTGCCACCCCGCCAGCCTTGCTCGAGAGCCTCGGCTCAGGTCTGGCCGCCTGCGCTGACATCACATGCGGAGAGGGGGGGAGAGACCCCCGACCCTGCCCGCGCACGTCGAGCGCAGCCAGCGGCCGCCCGCCTTTCCTCCGTGCGCGCGCTCGGGTCTCCGCTGTCGCCTAGCGCCTGCCTTGCTCCCCGCCGAGCGCGGCCATGCCCGAGCCCCTGGCACGCCCAGCCCTTGCCAGCTACGAGGGGACGCGGGCTTGAGCCGAGCCACAGCCGCGAGGCCTGGTGCGCGGCCTTTCCCTCTGCGGACGCCGTCTGCCCGGGAAGCCCCCCGAGGGGAAGGTAGGAGGCGAGACGGGAGGAGCCCAACGGCCTCGCCCTTTCCCGCTCTCGGCAGCTCGACGACTCCGGGGCTGGGTGCGCGAGGCGTCCCCCTCTGGGCGGCGGGGGCCCTCCGTTTCCCGCGTCCGAACGCCTTTCCTCCGAGTGCGCAGTCGGTGCGTTCAGCTGGCGGCGCTTAGACGGCTGCACTGGGAAGGGGCTTCTGGGCACGTGCAGGCTGCCGCCAGTCCGCCCGTGAAGCAGGGGCGGCGGACCTGCCGGGCAGGCGGCTCCTTCTCGCCGGGGGGCGCCGTCCTTCCGCAGCCCGCCCTTCTGGCTTGCTGATGGCGGCCCCCGCCCTCCCCTCCAGCCGCCCGTCCGCCGTCTTGCGCTCTCCCCGGTCGTCGGGGGGCCGGCGGGGTTGCCTGGTGACCGCTCCTCTCCCGCCCTGGAGCGCCAGGAGCCTCGGCGGGGAATCGCGCGCTCTTCCCCGGGACAGCCGGGACCCCTCGGAGGACTCCCGCCCGCTCTCCAGGGTCGCGCGGCTCGGCCCTGGGGAGGCGCCGGCTCTCGCCCCGCGCCTGCCCGCCCGCGCGCGCGCGCCACGACTCTGGGCCGCGCCTCGCCTGCTTTCGGCCCAAAGGGCTGCGAGGGGCGGCGGCCTGTTTGGCGGGCGGGGCGCGCTTTGTTTACGGGCCCTGCGATGCTTGAGGCGGGGCGGGCATGCCGCCGCCTTCACACGCAAAACATCTTGCGCAGGCGCGAACGTCGCCCCTGCTGGGGTGGGGCGGGGGGAGGCCGCCTCCGTCGGGCTTCGAGGCCTTCCCGCTTCTCTATTCGGAGAAGACCCAGCGCGCACCCACCCTTGCCAGACAGCTGGGACGCAGCCGCGGCGCCGGTCGCCCGCCAGGCGATTCGCTTGGATGCCGAACCAGAAACGGGCGGGTTGTTTCGTCGAGCAAAGGGAGGGCAGGCGCGCATCCTGGCCATAGGCGCCGCCCTTCGAGGGGGCCCAAAGGACGCCTGGCGGGCGGGGGAGAAGCGGCCAAGGTCGTGCTGCTCGGCCCGGCCAGGAATTCTCCACCTTCCAACTGTGCAGCTGGGCTAGGAAACATCTGGGGGGGGGTTGTCATTGCAAGACCCCAACCTGAAGGGCGGTTGGCATCGTTAAGAGAGTGGGTGGGTGAGCTTTGGCCTTCCTCTTGGGACCCCTTTGGTCTTCACCCAGGGAAATAGTTGTGTGGCAGCTCCGTGGGATTTCCCACACCCTCCCTTCTGCGGTGGAATAATGCCAAGAGAGAGCCCCTGATGGGTGAGAGATGCCCTTGCTTCAGACGTGCATGAATGGCACTCTGCCCTCTTCATCTGTGCCCAGAGGACCGGCAGCCCACCAGCTGCCCCAATTCTTGAAAGCACAGTATGATTCGGACCCCCCTTGGCAAAAGGGAGGGGAGGGAAGGCTTGGCTCAGAACCTGGCAGTGCTGTCCCTTCATGAAGTGTGCAGAGAGGTGGTCGCCTTCTAGGTGCTGACCTCTGCAGCACTGCCTGCCAGACAAATGAACAGGCCTTACTGTTGGGGGAAGGAGGCCTCCACCAGGTTGACCAACCTCCTGGTCTTGGAATAGCTGCCTGCGTGGGGTAGTTAATGCCAACTGCACCATAGATGTTTAACCTGCTTTGTGATGGCTTTGTGCATTGGCTTAAGAGGGCTGTTTGGTCAGGGATAGGCAAGGGAATGCATGGCCGCCCCTGGGCCTGCCTGTTTCCCTAACAGGCATTTCTCTGCCCACCTCTGCTTTTTGGCCCACTGATGGTCCAGATCCAGAGGGAGTTGGCTGCATCCATCTGGGTTACAGTACTATGTCAAGTTCCCAGAGCGTAGCTGATCGTAGCTGTGGTTCATTATGTTCAAAAAGCCCTGGCTTGCTTAAGCCAGTCTTGGTTAACGAAGCAGTCCATGGCTCTTTGTTTTGGCCTTGAGCTGGTTGGCTATTGGTTGCCCCTCAAGGTGATCATCTGTTCTAGGCCCTGATCGCGTTGCGTGGTGGGGGGAGAAAGTTAACTGGACGAGGCCTTTTCCAGTGGCCTCCATGGTGTCAATCCATTAAAATGGGGACAGAAACTGCTGATGTGGGCTGTGGTGCCTGAATGATGATGAGAGATGTTTTGCTGACTTCCACAACATGGGAGGGGGATTTAATTATTTATTTGTACCCTGATTTTATTTGTACAAATATTTTTACAAATAACTCAAGATGATGAACACATCAAACATACCTTCCTCCTATTTTTTTCCACAAGAACCACCTGTGAGGTGAGTTGGACAGAGAGAGAGATTTGCCCCAAATCACCTACCTGGCTTTCACGGCTAAAGCCAGACTGGAACTCAGTCTCTCCAGCCTAGTGCCTTAGCCATTAGACCAGCTGGCTCTCACGGGGGTGGGGTGGGGGCAGGAACGGCTAAAGATGTGGGCCAACGTGGCCGTGAGAAGAATAGCTTGCTCTGGTTCTTCCTTCTGGCATTGGGTGGGCTAGGATGGAGGCCAAACAGCCACTCCGTGGGAAGGAGGCCTTCTTCTCCCTCTTGCTAGGACTCCTGCAGTGGACTCTCCTGTCCTGAAAGGCCCAGCTGCAGAGAATGCAGAGCTTTGAAGCCTCTGGAGCAAGACCCTGAAAATGCTGCTCTCGGTTGGCTGGGCTCCTGCTGCACCCGGACTAAAGATTTATTCCTCCAAGCTTTCATTCTGGAGAGAGAGAAGTTCACAAATGAAGGCGAATCTACGTGGTGTCCAAGGATGATGTTGCGGGATCCAATCAGGATCAGTCACTGGGACCAGAGATTTAGTTTTCTGAGCTTTCAGACCGTGCTAGAGTCCATCCTCGGGGAGCTTCTCTCCAGCAGACTGTGCTTTGGGCTGTTCTCTGTACGTTAAGAGTTGCTGGTCCCACTAGGGTTGTTAAACAAGGACTCCCTGTAATAAGATGTCGATGAAGGTCTGGTCACTTCTGGGGTCCCTCAAGGATTGCCGTAAAGGGTTCCCAAAGGTCCTGTTGCAACTGAGCTGTTGGTACTTGGTGGGAGCCGTTTGGAGGCTGAGATGGACCTGGGCACAGAAGTCGCTCCTTCCTGGATTGGACGCCTGACCCATCAGCCAGCGCTCCCAAGAAGCTCTGTAGCCCCCAAGCAAACACTTCAGGCCAGTTTTCCTCAACCTTCACAAATCAGCCAATTCTTTTTTAAAGTCAGAGAAACTCTTACCCAGCATCACACCTCATGATAGCAAATTCCAAAATTTAATTATGTATTGTGTAAAAATATTTTTGAAAGTGAGATGGGTGGTACCTAAAATCTGACAAATAAATGAGAACGTTCTCTGAAAATTTTAGCTTTTGTGGCAGTCATGTTTACATAGCCCACTACTTTCCCCAAAAACTTAATAAGTACACAAAATGGTAAAAACACATGTTTTAAAGAAGCATTCCCTGTTTTCTGCTAGAAACTATGCAGTAACGCAGATCTTTCGGCTTCCTCCTTAGCTTCCAACATGAGCTGCCCAGGGGACTTCCAGCTATGATTCCTCCAAGGTTTCTGGAAGAAAAACAGCAGCAGCCTGGAAGGATGCTCTGGGTGCGCTGTGGTTAGGTGTGCAGTATTGCAGGCAAACTCTGCCCACAGCCTGGAGTTCAATCCTGACGGGGCACAAGGTTGACTCAGCCTTCCATCCTTCTGAGGTCTGTAAAATGGAGATCCAGACTGTTGGGGGCAATAGGCCTCAACTACCCAGAGTGCTGTAAACAACTGGGGGGTGGCATACAAGTCTTAATTGTTATTGCTATTGGTATCACCCAAGGTCATTAGTTATTATTGATTGTAATAAATTTTAAAGACTACTATTATTAACCTCTCCCCTGATGAAATGTTCCAGAGCAATCAAACATTCACCGGCTCCTTTGTACCATTTTGGAAGAGCCTGTCTGCTAGCAATCGGCACCCAGATGAGCATGGATTAATTCCAAGATTAACATCAGAGCAACAATCAAGTAAACAATAGCCCAATCAAGCCAACAATAAACAGACCGACCAAACAAGATTCTCCCACTAAGACTGATGGGCAAGCCACTGAAATATAAACTGAGAGCAAATCCCACTCCTTCCTAGCACCGATGGTGTTGCTAGTTTGGGTAATGAAACATCTGCAAGAAAACAACTGAGCTCAGAGAGTGCCAAAATCCCTTCATTTCAACCCTGTGCTGCAAATATTTTCCTTCGTTGATATATGCAAAATATTGCATGGCCTGCTAACTCTCGTCCTATAGGGGCCTGGTCATAGGGGAGGGACAGTCAGGTGAATCATTGAGGCAATTGAAGGGGGTTGTTGCTGGGTTCCCTATGATAGAGGCCCCTGTGGCATGTGCCCGAGAGCTGCTGCCGGTTCAGGCCCATTACACAGAGGACGCTTGTTGGAGGCCAAGGACATAAGGAGCCCCAGACTTTTCAGGCAGTCCCCAAATGTGGAGGGGTGGGTGGGGGGTGGCAACAGTTGCCTTTGGGCCGGGTGCCCTTTGGGAAGCCTTGCTGCAGCAGCAGCAGCACCCGAGGGCCCTTGCGCTGTCCCTTCGTTGTCTCCCAGCCGCTGCTGAGGCTGCTGTGCTGAGCTTTGCCTTCTATTTTGGGTGGGGATCCAGAGGGCAACAGGCAGGTAGGCAGCTGGAGGAACAGGATGTGCTGCTGGCTGGGCTGAGAAGTGACCTGGGTCTGGACTGGAGGATGCCTCTTTGGTTGTAGGGCTCTCTTTGGGGGGGGGGGGGGGGCGCTCGGGTCCCTTCCTTGCTGAGCCAGGAGGCTTCTACGGGTTGAGGCAAAGTGAGGAAAGATGGCTGAGAAGAAAGCTGGGGGCTCTCCCTGGACCTGGGATTCAGGCAACAGGCTCCCCTCGGCCTGAGCTGCAAGCAAGCCAGTCTGCCATGATCCAGCCAGGCTGGCTTCTCAGCAAGAGAAGATGACACAGAAGGGAGCTGGGTGGGAGGAAATCACAGTTTTGCAAGTGGCAGATGATCCAAAACAGAGTCCCCAAAGCACAGGATTGTGCGGAGGTTCTGGAAAGTCCCTCTGAGAGCCTGAGCCCAGGAACCCTGACTAGGCTTCCCTCCTGCCCAGGGCTGCCTGAAGTTCTCTCTCCCCCCCTCTCTCCCTCCCTCTCTCTCTCTTGGTTGCCTGCAGCACAGCCACGATGGGAAGCAGCCTGCTTTTCCTCTGCTCTTTCCTGGTTCCAGGGATCTTGGCAGAGGGTATGTATAGCTTGTGGGGGCTGGGGGAATGGGCCTCCCCAGTGTCTGTGCCCCAGCCTGCTCTTGTGGCAACTGCTGGGGAGGAATAGAATTGGCCCATTTCCTTGCGTGCCTGCAAAGTCAGAACAGCAGGTGGAGGTCCAGGACCGGGTCCTCTCTGGCTGCGCTTGGGGGAGGAGGGGGGAGGACTTGGCTCCCTCTTGCACTGCCCACAGAACGGCCACATTGTGGATGTTTTGTTTGCTCTTTCCAGCGACCGAGCAAGAGAAAGAGAAGGATCCCTTCAACTATGGTGAGACACAGACACCTTGATTTGACCCCTCCAACATTTCTGAGCATTGCTGCCCCTTTGGAACTGCAACCCTACTTCCATTTGGTCTCTCCCATTCCCCCCCCCCCCAGACTACCAGACCCTGCGGATTGGCGGCCTGACCTTTGCCGTGGTTTTCTTCACGCTCGGGATCCTGCTGATTCTGAGTAAGTGACCTCCAGATTAAGGGCAGGAATGCCGCTTGCCAAAAGCCCGGCCTCCCTGGTGCAGGAAAGGAAGCCAAGTGGCGATGGCCTGCTTCCCCTGGGTACTCTGGCCAAGGTGAGGCTGTGACAAGAAAGGGGGCCCAGGGGATAAAGTTTTCATCACCCCCTCTGCCCGCACCAAAAGAAAGAGATGGAAACGGGAAGCAGCTGACGACGACCATCCCCTGGGCTGGGGCTGCCCGGGTGGGCTTTGCGGGTGAGGGCACAAGGTGCCACTGGCTATGCTGAGGAGGTGCCCATGCCAGACCTGCCCTTCCTTGCCCAATGAAAGAGGAAGGCCAGTGGTTTGTGCTCAGGGCAGCTGCTTTGTCAAGTCCCCCCCCCCAGCTCAGCATCTGGTCTGCTCTGCTGCCACGGTGGGAGAAGTGCCCAGGCCGCCAAGAGAGTCCTGGGCAGACAAGACTTCTCCAATGTCCCCCACCCAGAGCCATCTCCTCTTGCCTCACCATGCCGTGTCTTTTCCCTCAGGCAGGCGATGCAGGTGCAGCTTCAACACAAAGGCCAGGTGGGTGAGGCAGCGTTGCTTCCTGGCTGTCCTTCCCCCGTCACCCCTCTGGGGAATGGGAAGGTGGTGACGCCTCCTGTCTGCTCTTGTTCTGCAGGGCTCCCGGTGATGAGGAGGTGCAGGCTGAGAACATGATTGCGTCAAACGGTAAGGCTTGGCTGCGCCCTGCCCCCATTCAGAGGGAGGTTTCCTGGCCCCAGAAGGGGGCAAAGGGTTTGCGGGGCCCATTCAGTCTTCCACCTGCCTCCCCTCCCCACTTGTGCCACTTGTTGGGCAAGAGAGGGGCCTGGGAAGTGTGCCCGCATTCGCATAGAGGGCTGCCTGGCCTCCTGGGGGAGCTCCCCCTTTCCCGTGGCTGGGAGGGAGGGACCGGGCCCACCAGAGTGACCCTCCTGTATGGGCCATGGGAACTTGATCTGTGGGAGAGAAAAGCATCAAAGGTGGGTTTTTTTTTTTTTTGCAGCAGCAGCAGCACCACCACCACCACAGAAAGAAGAGAACTGAAGTGAAGGTGTGCAGGTGAGTGTTGAACAACAGAAACTGAGCAAATCTTGCCAAATTGAAAATTCGGGGATTGTCCTGAGAAGGAGAAAGGAACAGCTGACCGAGAAAACCTGGGTGGGGAAAGACAAAGAAGCCTGAACCTTTTGGGAAATTTGCATGAAAAGTGATCTTTGCTTTCTCCCAAGAGTGGCTACAGTTGGCAAGGCTTTGTGAAATGGGGCTCTTGTTTTGTTAAATGTTATACCAGATGTGCCTTCATGTGCTGCACAGGGGCTTCCTGTTTTGCCACTGTCTCCTTCTCTTCTTCAGCAAAGGAGAGCCGACACTGGACCAGGGAATTCCAAATGCAAACCAGATGAAGGGACATGGAGGTGATGGCCCCTGGTCCTCTAAGGGATTAATGTTGACATGTTGGTGTCCATGTTGGCCTGTGCCCTGGAAAATCAGTCCTCTGCTTAACTGTTCCCCATCAAATCCATGTCTGGTTGCATAATGTTCACCTGTCATCATTGTGGCCTTGATGTCGTCCTTGTGCAACTATCTCCTCCATGACCCCCCTCCTCCCCCATGCCGGTTTGATATGCTGACCCTCCCAGATGAAGAACTGGCCACTTCTGCCTTGAGGTGCGCAACGGCTATGGCTGCCCCACTCCCAGCTGAAGCTCCAGGAGGGAAGGACAAGGCCTGTGGGAAGGGCCCGGACTGAGGAAAGGGAGTCCGGGACCTTGGTGGTGTTCAGCCTTGGCAGCAGCGGCCTCCCTGCCCCCCGCCCTCTGGCCCTTCCAGAACCTGCTTGTCAGCAAGGCCATCCTGTCTCTGGTGCCTACCAGCCACGGGGCCAGGAAAGGAGTTGGAATAGGAGGGGCACTTCCCTTGGCTCCCCAGGAGGCCGAGAGGCTAGTCTGGCCGGGTCCTTTTCCTCGGTGGGTGCCTTGGGGTGAGGGCCAGGTCTTGGCTTTTTCACCAGGCCTTCATAGGGTGGGCTGAGGCGACACCTGTTACCATTGACTTGATTTGGATAGGGCATTTGTTCTGCCAAGTTCGCACCCCTGCAGGTTGCAACACAACATCCTGCAAGATCCTGGGTGCCCTTGGGTTCTTATTCTAAAGTGCTTGGCAGAATTGGCAACAGAATTCAGCCCAGGAAAGAGTGAGAAATTCAGTTCCAGGATGGTTTCCATTGGAAGTTCAGAGAGCAGCAGAGGCTCTTCCGGATGAGGGTGGGAAGTGGGTTTGGCCTGACCTTAATGCCCCATTCTCTAGCCCTAGAAATCCCCCCTCCCAAATGCAGAAGGCTTCCCTGGTCACTCCTTATCTTATGCAGCCACCTGGTTAGATGCCATCAGTTGAGGAAAGCAGAAGGGGACCCGGCCCTTTCCCTCCCACTCCCCCGTTTTGTCTTAGCTGTGGTTGCCACACCTTCTGTATTGCCATGTGGCTCTATCGTCTGTAGTGTGCAGTAGGTAACAACCATTGAAAACATCTGTGTACAAATGTAATTCCAAAACCCAAGCCATGGTTGTGCATTCCCTTGGTGTAGGCTGTCCTACTGTGTGGCTGTGATAAAGGACCCCCACATGTTCGTGCTGTGTCTCAACTCAAGGGGAGCATCAAATAAAACATTTCTATTTCAGTGCCTCCGTGTTCTCTTGCAGTGCATGAGGGGTCCTGAGGGGGGCTCCGTGAATGAGGAGGAGTTGGGTTTCCTGCACTTCCAGGGCCTGTGGTCCCTTCGGCCCAGGCCCTTCCCCTGTTTGCAAAGGAGAAATGCTTTTCCACAGCATCGACTGGTTCTCTCTCTCCCCCCCCTCCCCCCCCCGTCATCAGAGAGCACAATCCCATAAAATCTGAACAAAATACAAAGTGGGGCCGATGGGGGGAGATTTCCTGCCTGTGTCTCAGGTGGTGTGCTGAAAAGAAGGCCAGGGGGTGGCAAATGCACCTTCCTGGGAGTCTGGGCCCTGAGTGAAACCTCCACCCTTGGAATGCCAGGTGGGCAGCCAATGAAGGCCCCCCCCAGGAGGCTGTTCCGCTGAGTGGGTTGATGGCCAGAGGGGAATCTGAGGGCGTTTCTGGTTGACCTTGGGGAAATCCTTCAACGTGGCTTCCTGGTGTGGTTGCTTTAGTCTCCTTTAGGGGTTTCCGTGTAATGTCAGAGCAGGAGCCGGACATCAAAAAGCATTTGCTGGCACCTGACAGATTGAGGTGGATTATTGCAGATGTTTTAGGGGATCACAACTGATGGAAAAACAAACATGTTGGAGAACTTCAAAAGCCACATGACTCCGTTGCTAGGGAAAGGCTGTTTGCAATGGTATCTGCGCCTGCACCCCACAAGTTTACAGCCGATTGTTTTAAGCCTTTCTGCATCGCTACAGCAAACATTTAAAGCCACGAGCCTTATGCAGAATGTGTGCGCGCACAAGAATGTGTGCACGCTTCTGGGGTGGGAGACAGCTCCAGCTGTTTGGTTTTGGGGTACCCCGTATGCTTCATTGGCAGGGAGACCAGGAGGTTTCCTGTCTAGACGCAGACTGCTGCAGTGTGATACCACGGGGGAGGAAGCTGTCCAAAGAAGGTGGGCTCCCAGTCTGGGAGAGGCAGGTGTCCAAAGGACAGCACTGAGCCACCTGCTCATTCTGGAGTGGGTGATGGCATGGAAAGAGGGCTGGAGATGCGGCTTCTCCCCAAACTGGACCCCCCTATTTACCTCCACTGCAGCTGAGTCTCTCCTGTAACCCTGGTGCCAATTCTGGGGCAGCCACCACTCCATGCCAGCAGCAGCAGCAGGAGGAGGAGGATGGAGAATAGCAGAGCGGGGAGCTTTGGGTGGTCCAGGCCTCAGCCTGTGCCTTGTTTTCAAGGAGACGGGGCCCTTCCAGAGGAAGGTAGCCTCCCCCAGGCTCTGCCTTGTGACTGGGATAAACATTACAGGCAGCTGGTTAATGGTTAATGAGGTGTTTGCCCTCCCTGCTCCCCATTACAATGTGTGTGTGTGTGGCCAGGGCTGGCTGTCCCTATCAGGCAGCTGGAGCTGGCAGGTCGCCAGACAGGCTGGAAATGGGTAGGTGGGCCAGGATCTTCACAGCTGGAAAGAAATTACCCCCTCCACTAGCCCCCCTTCCCATTTCCTCCAAAGGAAGCCAGAGGAGAGTAACTCCGACCTTCTGATCCAGCCCTCTTGGAGGGACCAGGTGGCCAAATGGGACGGTAGATAAAGAGCACCATAGGTTAAGGAGAGGCCTGGACTCTGCCTTGCAAAGGCAGGCCCAGATTCCTCTCACTGGGGGGACCTGGACCAGGGGCGGGGGGCGGGCGTTGGAGAGCTGGAAAAACCCCAGAAGAGGCGTCCCCATCAGACGCGCGAGGGGGTCCTGCCTTGGGCGGGAGCGGGCGCCCTATTTATTGCCCCGCGCAGTTGCTCTCCAGGCCTTTCCGCAGCGAGATCCGGGCGCTCGTGGACAAAACCTGCGGGTGGCGCGATGGGACCGGCTCCTTTCTCCCCCACCGATGTGGCAAGTGGGTCTTTTCTTGTCGCCGCGAGCCTCTCGGGGCTGCCCTCTTTCCTCGGCTGGGGCGCCTCCGCGGGGTTGACAGCGTAGCCGGCAGTTCCGCCCTGGCTCCACCAGACGGCCGGAAAGTTTCGGATGCCGAATGCGAAAGGCTCCGGAGCCCGGGTGGCAGCGTCGCGTCCTCGGAAGCCCAGCCCAGCCCCGCCACTGCCCGGCTTCTGATTTGGTTTCTTTTCTCTCCTCCCGTTCCCGCCAGAAAATTTGCCGGAGACCGAGAACGGCCTCTTTTCTTACGGTAAGAAGTGGCGAGGGGGCTAGCTAGCCCCAGGAAGGGGCGGTACAGGGAATTGGCCGCCGCCTCTGCTTCCCCGGCAGGGGCTCCAGAGAAAGGGGAGACGGGCTTGAACCGCCCGGTCCGTTAATACCTACGCGAGACCTCCGAGGAATTCCACGGTGAAGAATAAGAAGGGAACGGAGAGGAGGAGACCCGACACCGCGGAATCTTGCCCCCCCCCCAAAAAAATATATATATATTCGTGTCATTTCATCTCTATCGCGCTTCCCTTTGAGCCAAACACAACCGAACCTGCTCACCTAAGGCAGAGCAACCAATAGGGGGCGCCCTCCGACCCCATTAACCCCCACCCCCACCACCCCGCTTGCCGAGCCGCGCGCTCTCCGGGCACCTTCCTTGGAGGTGTCCGAGGAGCTTCGCCTCCTGTGCCGCTCGGAGCCACGACCCTCCCCGCGCGTTTGATTCGCCGCTTGTTTGGTAAGTAACCGGCCGGGGCGTTCGGCAGAGGCAGCTACTCGGTGCAACGTTAGCGCGGGGTCCTTGCCCGGCGGCAACCCGAGGCCAACTCAGTGGCCGCCGCGCCTCTCTCGCTCTGCCTCCGCTGAGCGCGCCTTCTTCTCTCCCCAGACTACGAGACCGTCCGTCACGGGGGGCTCATCTTCGCCGTGGCGGCCTTCCTGATCGGGCTCGCCATACTCTTCAGTAAGCGGCGGGGAGGGAAGGGGAGCGAGGGAGGTTCTGGCCACCTTCCCCCCCACACACACCCCGGGACCCAGGAAAGCGGGTCCCTTCCTGCGAGGAAAATAGGACCCGCCGCTGCCTCCGCCTTCTCGGTCTCGGGGTAAAGCTCCAGCTCCCGGGGGCAGGTGGGAGGGAGGACATCGGGGCGGCCAGGCGGAACCCCCAACAGCTGCCCGTCCTGGCGGCTCGAGGTTTCACCAAGTTCTTCCGTTGCAGGTCGGCGGTTCCGCTGCGGAGGGAAGCAGCAGCAGCGGCGGTGAGTAGCCCTGGCCCCATTATCCAAGCCTTCCGGGCCCGGGGACTTTCCTGATCTCCGCCTGCTCTCCCACCCCCTTCTCTCTCCAGACCCGGCGAAGGGAACGAGTTGTAAGCCCGGCTCTGCCCAGCGCCCCTTTCTGCGGGCCTCCGGCTCCCTCTCGGAGGGGGACGGGGAGTGAGGGCGGTTGTAGCACTACTGCGGCTGGGGTGCTTCTTCTCTCCCGGGAGCAAGAGGCTGCGGGCCGTGCAGTTACCACTTCTTGCTCCGAAGGCTCAATCGGAAGCGTCTCCGGGCGCGCGTCCGAGGAAGAGATGCGCCTAAGCCGCGCTTGAGTGCCGCCGCGCAGCCTCTGGCCATGAAATAAAGCGCCGCCTCCCAAATCGGGTTTTACCCCGAGAAAGCCGGCTCCGCTTGATCCTTTGGGCCGTCCCAAGTGGGCGGCAGCTGCGACGTTTTTCCGACCGGGCCAAGCTCTCAGACGAGGGGAGCGGGACTTGGGATCACGGCCGACGGGCAGGAAGAAGGCGCGGGGGTGGGGGCTTTCTGTGCCTAAGCTGCGCTTGGTCTGGGACAGGCTGCCAACCGGCGTGTTTGGATTGGGTGGGCGTGGGGGGGGTTCTCCTCAGCGGCCCAAGAGCAGAGTTTTGGTTTGAGGGCGGCTAGACTGCCTTTTCTTCGATGGATGTAAGCAGAAGACTGAAAGGGGCAGCAAGTGGCCCGAGGGAGGCAGGAGGGGTGGGGGTGAACGGTGCGGACCAGCATTCTGTATGCTGCAACTGCTAAAAGAGCCTCGGGCCAGAAGAGTATTTGCATCCTCCTAAGGTCTGAGCTGTGCCCCAGACCTCTGCCTTTGATGCCATCTTTTAATGGGGCAGGCTGATTTCATTTGCAGTCACAAAGAGACGTGGGATGGGATTCAGCCAGGATCGCTGCTAGCCATCTCTTCCTTTTGACCTTTCTCCACGACTGAATCCAGGTGCTTTCCTCTGCCATCCTTGAGTTGGCACAAAAATAGACCTGCATAAAAGTTGGTGTCCCAATTGCCAATCTCTATCCTGTCCCTTTGCCTGTTTCTGAGCCCTGGTTTCTGAGCATGTCAATGGTTGGCTTTCTCTGGTACCTTTGGTGCCCCCATCCACCACACACCTCCTGGTCAAGAGACTGCAGGAAGAGGGAGGGTGGTGGACCTTTGGGACCCAGCTGGGCTTCTCAGGCAAAATTCAACTCACTCTATCTTGACCAAGAGGGCTGGAGGGAGAAGCTCTCCTATGATATTAAGATTTTGTGCAACCACAGAGTTCCAGTTGTTATTGGGGTTTCTGTTTCCTGACCAGACCTGTTTCAAAGTGCTGAATGTGGGGATGGCAGAGGCCAGTGAGCCCCCCTTAACAATAGAGCGGCATGATCTGCAGATTGGTTGGCATGAGTTTATATGGGAAGGGAAAAATACATTTCATTCATACTTCCAGAGGCACAAAGTTAGAGACATCTCATTATCTGCATGGGAGAGAATAAAGAGAAATCATTACATGAAGATCCCAATTTGGTTATCCACCATAGAAGCAATGGTGTATCCCAATGTCCTTGGCTTAAATAAAATAGTAAGATATAAAGAATTATTGGATGATCAGGGAAAATGAAAACTAATCAAGAACTGAAGAAGCAGATTAGTGGCCTTATTTACAAATTCAAACAAGATGTAAGAAAGATATAGAAGAATCTGGAATATATAAAGATCAGCAGGAATTAGACAAAAGGTTCCCCAAATCTCTTTGCAACTGTTGCCTTCTCTTCCCACCATTCCTAAACTAAAGGAGAACCAAACACCAATATTCTGTAAAGAGGAAGGTCACAATCTTCCCTTGGGTGCATAAGCTTTTGCAGTGATTGTTGTTGCTTTTAATTGAGGGGAGGGGCAGATGCAGCGTTTTTGATAAGATAGGTGGGGCTCTTGAAATGGAGGACACTGAAAAAGCTAGAATCAGTATTAAGGCCTTACAAGATGCAAAAAGTAGAGGTGGGCTAGCGCTTCCAAACTGGGAATTATATTATTGGGCAGCCAACTTACTATGGTTAAAAGACTGGGTCAATTTACGGAATAAAAGAACTCTAGCCTTGGAAGGGCACGACCTTCAGAGAGGATGGCACGCATTTCTATGGGATGTGGGGAAAACTAAACAGGCGTACTTTCATAGACATCTTATTAGAGATTCACTATTAACTAATTGGAAAAAAATATGTAAAAAACATTATTTAAAAATTCCGATTTGGCTTTCAACAATGGAGGCAATGGTTCATCCCAACAATTTGGATATAACAAAAATGACTAAATATAAAGATTTATTAGATCCTTTAGGGAAACTAAGAACTCGACAGGACTTACAGGAACAGGGATTTAAAATTGATCAGTGGTTATATATACAAATCCATAGTAGATACAAACAAGATATCAAAGAGTTTGGAATTTATAGCAAATTACAACACTTAGATAAAATCTTATTAGGATCAAATAAAAAGAATATTTCTAAATTTTATAAATATTTATTGGAGGTAGAATTAGAGCAAGAGATAGTGAAAGGGAACATGATAATGTGGAGTAGGAATATTGGAAGAAGCATTACATTAACAGAATGGGAAAAGATCTGGAATAGAATCATTAAGATTACGAAATCTGCGGCGTACAAAGAAAATATGTATAAAATGTTATATAGATGGCACTTACCCCCTTCGAGGTTAGCGAAAATGAACCCAAACTCTAGTCCAAAATGTTGGAAATGTAAAAACATAGAGGGAACCTACTTTCATATGTGGTGGACCTGTAAAGAAGCCCAGAAATACTGGCAAAAAATTAGAAAATGGCTGGAGGAGATAACCAAAGATCAAATTGAATACAAACCAGAGTTCTTCCTACTAGGGATCTCTGATAAACATTTTCCTAAAAAGACGAAATACATAATAATTCATATTCTAACTGCGGCCAGATTAGCATTTGCCCAGTGCTGGAAATCATCCCGTTTACCTACAGATCAATTGGTCATTCAGAAAATATGTGACTGCGCAGAAATGGACAATTTAACCATAGCTCTTAAAAATAAAGAGTCTTCAGCATTTGATAATAATTGGAATGCATGGTATAATTGGTTATATCAGAGATAAACTGTTTAATGAGCATAAATAAGCATAAATATCCATAAATAGTGATAAGATGTGTATATTTAAAGTAAGGTAGGAGAATTGGATCTTGTAGACTGTCAAAAAGAATATTTGTCTGGTTTTAACGTATTTTCTTTTTTCTTCCGTCTCTTTGTTTTTTTGTTTTTTGTTTTTCTCTCTTTTATACTTCTTCTTCTCCTTTTTCGGTCGCAAGACCGAGCGTTTTTTTTTTTTTTCTTTTTTCCTCTCTCTTTCTCTTCTTTCTTTCTTCTTTTTCTCTCTCTGTTTCTTATGTAATGTTGTTATGTTATTTTTTTAATTGTAAATTCAATAAAATTTATATGAAAAAAAGAAATGGAGGACACTGAGTGAGTGGCCCACTTGTATACAAGGGAAGAGCTGCACTTCAAAGAGATCCACTAGAGGTCAGTGTAGGTTCATAATATGTTCTATAAAAGGCAGGCAGAATTGTGTTGGTTCCCTGTAAAAGGATCAGTACCTTGATTAGGGACCCAAATGGCACAAAGGAGCTTTTGATTTCTCTGGAACACTTCAAGAACACTTACGTTGATAAAAGCTGTCTTTAAACATTTCTTAAAATTAATAGTACCTTGCTGACCTTGGCTGATAGCAATAGCAATAGTACTTATTCTTGTATACTGCTGCATAGTGCTTTATAGCATTCTCTCTTTCAATCCATTCCTCCCATGCCGCCAAAGCCTGGGATTGGGGTGCCTGCATCTGATCAGTTGCAGTTCTCTTGACCTACAGGAGCTAGCTGGTGGACTTGAGGAGGTGTGGCCAGAGAGGCAGTCAGACAGCCTAGAGAAACCCAGGCAGGGTCCCAATGTGCCCCTCCCCCCCCCATATTCTGACCAGTGGGTGTCCTCTTTATCGGGGGTGGGGGGCAGAAAAGCAAATGGAGAAAGCCAACCATGGGTGCATTCACACATTAGGACAAAGGCACAGGCTCAGAGTCAACAGAGGCAGGGTGAAGATTGGCATTGGAAATGCCAACTTTTATGCTAGTCTATTTTTGTGCCACCTCGAGGCCAGATGGAGCACATCATCTTCACCAAGTAATAAACTAACCTGATAGTATTTCTTCTGAAATGGCAGAACTGTTACACTACCTGCAGTTCACAGCGGGATGAAGCACAAGAGACCCTGCATGGCAAAGTTGCTCAGGGTGGTATGTATCCTTTCATATTATCAGCTCTCAATTGTTTGGTCTACCAACTATTGGGAGAAATTTGAACACTGTCATCCATGAGACTGGCACACACACACACACACACACACACACACACACACGCACAAATCAATTTCAATCCTATCATTTCTGCCTCTGAAAATTAAATGCAGCTTTTTGTTTGTCTTGGAAGAAAATAATTAATCCCTGCCCTCCTGAAGAGAGACCATCTGCCCCCAGCCTCTGTGGAGTGTTTGAGTGTAAATCTCGGGGGAGAGGGATTATATCTACAGAAATATATATTGTGGAGGGCCAACACCTTGTCTCTCCCTCCCTCTCTAAAAAGTGACTTAGTGGTAGCAATTTATTCCACATCAAGAATTCAGTGGGATTCTGTGTCAGGCACAGATGGAGGAATAAAACACCATTACCAATGAGACTCACTGGGAGTTATATTTCCTTTGTGTTTATCCAAAGCCCTATAGCAGATTGTGTCCAGTTAAGCTATTGCAATGGGACACCTGTAAGGTAACTCAATAAACGCTTAATCATAACCCCTTCCTTCTTCTGGCAAAATCTGAAAAGAGGAAGCACAGTCAGAGGGGACTTTACTCTCAGGTACTTGCCCCACAATGCTGGAGAACAGATTTTACCTTCTTGGTCATCCCAGGGCATTTTGCAACGACAGTGTTCCCTCTCCACAAAACACCCCTGGAACTGAGATACACTTAATTCAGGGACAACCCCTTCAGGCAAGAGCTGAGGCGAGGACAGCAGCTCACCTCATCCCACGGTGCTTGGGTCTTGAACCTGTGTTGCTGGTTTTCCAGCCAACAAGCCCAGGGTGTTAACTGCTGAGCCACCACACTACACTGGTATCTTCAGAACCTGGACAGCAATGAGAAAGGTATCCCAAGGAGCAGATCTCCTGTCCCAATGGTTGGTGACCTCCATCACTGCCGGATATTACTCTGAGGGGATCCGTGACAATGGCCTGCCTGGAAGCCTCACACATCAGCGAAAGAAAAAAGACCATCGCCTCC